ATATTCTCTCTATTATCTACTAGGTATATATTTTCTCTCTTGACTACCTTAGTTTTAATCCCAAATCAATTGATAATTTTAGTGGAGATGTAATTTTCCGTAGAGTCTTGATCTACAAGCACCTAACACAACTATCTTCTTAATAGTCCCATTAGATGCACTAGTTGACTCTTTTTATAATTATTTGAAGCCATGCCATTTGTTTTTGAGAGATAATAGTTATTTCTAATATTGGCCCTTGGCGCCTTTATTAAAGAGCATTGTTTCTTTGCTCTATCCCATTATCAACTTGGTGAATCTTAAGAATACAAATTTGTCTTATTTATTTGATAATTGAATTTTGGCATTTTTGACAACCTCCAATCTAATGGCCTAGCTCCCAACAATAAAAATACAATCCCTTTTGTACCAATATTTGTTATCTTTGTGGTGTCAATGATCTTTGTAAGGCATCAATTTCTATTGGTATTGGTTCTTGTGCCATAGGACTTTGTGCTAAAGGTTATACTCTACAATTTTTGAAATCTATAGCATTGACCATCTCTACAATTCAAATTGTTTCTTCAAACGTTTGTAGATACGTTAGCTCTACCTCTCGCTAGCCTCCAAGTTTCAAACCTCGTATAAATCAATCCATCATCTCAAACCTTTGAAACATTATCAATTTGAAAATATAAGGATTTGAATTAAAAGATATAATCTTGCATTCACCTAGATTGTGAAAATTTTGCCAACTAATTGCATGCTATCTTTTCCACATTGATAGGCCAAAATCGATTCCTAAATTCGGTCTCAAACTCCTTCAAATCACAAAATCCATATTCAACTCTATAGCTTTGAATTCGATGTTGCCACCAAATAGCTGCCACATCTTTCAAATAGCAGATTGCATATATTATCCTTTCATTAGTATTTGTCCTAGACAGATGGAGGTATTGTCATATATTGAAGAGCCATTGACATACATCTTCTTATTTTAAAGTCTTAGAGTATATACAAGGCTTGTTCAATTTTAGCCCAGCAGATGTCATAACTTCTCAAATATAGTTTCAACTATCTATCCCTATATATCAACAATACAAATATCTTATCTATATTTTATTACAAAAGAAGTCTTAGATTCAATGTAGTATCAAAGTAGATTGAAATATCTTGTTCATTGGCAAAGATATGGTATTAGTGAACACATATAGGAGCTTATTAAGAATCTTGCAAATGCAGTAGAGAAGGTTGATACTTTTTATTGAATGCATTTATCAAAATTAAGACAAAGAATTATAAATCTTTATTATAAAAATAATTTAGTTCAAGAAAGATTGTATTTGACCTTCTTTTTTTATTTATAGTCCTAAAGAGATAAAGAACCAACAATCAATAGATTCAATTCAAGATCTATTATTTCCTAACTTATCAAATAAGATATTAGAATTGCCATAGCTTTTAAGAAAAGAAAATTTAGATGAAGATCTTTAAAAATAAGTTCTACTTCAAATAGATGGTAGAATAAAATGCATTTGGTATCATAACCTTGGAAGATATTTTTGATGTTTGGTGATTTTATTGGAGGTAGAAATAACTCTTGATGGTCTTACAAATATTTTGTTTGAAAGAAGTTGTAAAGGCCTCTACAACAACCAAATAATAGGATGGTCTTTCTACCCTAGAATGAGATATTATTAATGACTGAGAGGACCTATCAATCACCTTCAAAGGTAATAAAGATTAGAGTATCTGGCAAATATAATTTACATTTTATATTTCTTCAATATATGATAACCATTCCTTGTGGAACTCGTTCTTAGAAGAGAGAATAATATCATGGACATACATATTTACTTAAATAAGAATTATTAGATAAAAAATAAATAAAAGTAAATTTGATATTATCTTTTGTGAAGTTTTTTTGAAGCTTCATAGATACATATATGATTTTATACATGTTTATAATTAATTGATAGCTTAGAAACTTAACCGACAAATTAGCCATATATTATACATGTAGATAGCTTATCATTCAAACTAATAATGTATCTTGCATATAAAAAACTTACTTTGCAAGTTAAGACGATTGTTTTACAAATTAGACATGTAGTAGAAGTTCTATAGGACATTGCCATATAGCTCCTAATTGATAGTATGTATGGAAGCAAGAGTGAAGCCTTTGTTACTCTTATCAATGCCTTTTTAGTCTTTAGGCTTATTTCAAGTCTTTCTAGTCTTCTTGTCTTTTATAAGACCATTCCAATTTCAATACTATATTAATTTTGAGTAAATATCTATTCTTTGGAGTTACATAAGAATATTTTCAATTTTTGATTCTTTGAAATTTATGTCCTTGATACATCTCTAGATGTAAGTGATTATCTATTGATAACTTCTACCAAAATTAATTGAATATTTAAAAAAAATATTAATTATTATTGTGATATAAAGTCTTTTTTAATAAAACATATCAAGGCTATAATATTTATAAATACTTAAGTATGAAATTTATGATTTGAAGTTGTAATAATAATATAAAGTTTAAAATAAGGTATAGAGTTTAGTCTTATTTTGAGACTTATATTTAATATTCTAGGATTATCAAAGTTTAAGATCTCTATTTTTATGATATTTTCTTTTTGTAAAAAATTCTATGTTTAAATGTATCCTTCTTACTTTGAAACTTGTTGATTTAATATAAAACTCTTGAATTCCATGCTTTCTTTTCTATAATATAAACAGAAGCTTTTATAATGGTTTAAATTATAAAAGCTTTTTTTTTTGTGGTACCAATTACTTAAATTGAATTGTATCAATTTTCTTAAATTTCAACCTTGATAAATAAGTTTATAAAAACTTAGAATTTATTATCATGACTTGATTTTTTATTCTCCAACCAAATCTTTGTTATTAGCACCTTTCTAAGAATTAATTGTTATATGTAATGGCTTAAAAAATAAATTATTTTAATTAGTCTACTTTTTACATTATTAATTATAAATCTTTGACATTAGCTTCTAACTAATATCAAAATTGATTAATATATATATATATATATATATATATATTTCAATCCTTGTCGCAAGCAAGATTTTAAAATTTGATAACATTGATGGTAGACAATTGTGTTGATTATGATAAGGACTAGAATTTTATTTTTGCTATGCTTTCTTACTCACTCTCTCCAAACATAGTCCTAAGTACTTCCAGTAATGAATTTAGATTATAGAAGAGTCAAGAATTCTTTTCCATTAAAGATACAAATCAAAAATAAATATTTTTAAATAAAAATAAATCTTTAAATCTAACTTTAAAAAATTATTATAATATTAAAAATTATAAAAACTTAAATTTAATTTAATTTTTTGTAAAAAACTTCAAAAGTTTGATTTTATTCTATCAAACTTCTTTGGCATATTAATCTTTGCTTCTTTTATACTTATAACAAGAAGGCTTTATTGATTTATTTGTGAGGTTGGTCTATTTGCTTCTATTAATTGCTTAGCTTCTTGACAAAGACATTAAACTTCATTATTGACTTCAATTGTATATATGAATAGTACTTCTATTGCTGATATTGCTAATATATGAAATATTTGCTCTAAAAGTACATTTATGTTTGTAAAGATTTACAATAGCTCTTAATTTATTCTCATTTCTACCAAGTGTAGCATCAATAATTTTTTATTCTTTTATTTTTATTATAATTGGCTTTAACAAATCCATATGTAAAATTAAAGAAAGATTTTCCATAATCTTTACTATCAAATAAAAATTTCTACAAATAGTCATAGTCTATTCTTTTTAAAAAAAAATTAATGTTAAAAAAAATAATTTAAAGATAGGTAGTCTACAACAATAAGAAGTGGGACAATACACTCATTTCTAAAACACAACAAATATAACAAATTAAGACTCTTATTCAATTGTCAAAGGTATAAATATTAATAATTTTTAAAAAATAATAATACAATCTTATATTATCAAAAGTACAAAAGTAGAGAATTAAAAGATAGATATATAATCTAAAGTTAGATGTCTAATTCCAAATGTAAAAGAACTAAAAAGTCTTAAATCAAAATAAAACAAAAGAGTGATATTAATAAGAGTAAGAAAGGCCTCACTCTTGCCATTGTTTATACTATCTACTAAAGAATTATGTAGCAATGTAGTATAGGCCATATAACACATGTCTAACTTTAAAGACATGTATTAAATTTGTAAAGTAAGTTTCTAACATGTATGTTGTATATTCAATTTATAATACAAATGATTAAATATGCAAAATATGACATGCTTATTTACGAAGTTGTTAATCTATCAATTATTTATAAACACATGTATAATCTACATAGTTTATAAAAAGTTTCCAAATAAGATATAAACAACACAACCTATTTCTATTTCTACTTACTTCTACTCAGTTCTAATTATCTAAAAAACTATACTAGTAAATATGGCTATTCATTATATGTCAAATAAATTATATGAAAGTCTTTTTAGATTATAAGGCTTATATTAAAGATCTAAATTTTAAAAAAATTTAAATAACAATATATTGATATATCATTAAAGAAGTGAAAAAATAAAGAAAGTAAAGATAGATATGGAACAAAAAAATAAATTAGAATGACTATTGTATATTACAAAGAAACTAGAGAGTCATGAATTAAGATTGGAATATAAGAAAAACATTGACAAGATTGAAGATGGCCTCATTCTTATTTCTTATAAACTAATTACCATATAAACTAGTTACCAAGAAGACTTTGTAGAAGCTTCATAAGTGCCATAAAACTTGGAGTGTAAACATTACAAACTTTAATATTTTAATACGGAATCTATATTCCGACACCTCAAATTTACTATTTCCATACCTCCGTGACCGGGATTAGGACCAGGATACATATTTGGCGTACGTGAGGTTGTTAAATCACACCCCGATATCTCGTCTTGAAAAAAAAAGTAAAAAAGTGTTTTTAAGGTGAGTGATCATCACGCTTTTGTTCTTGTTGCAGGCCTCTTCATCTTCTCATGTCCTTGGCGGTTGCTCTTTTCCATCTCTTCTTGAGTTTTCCATTCCTGTTTTTGCATCGACAATAGAACCACTGCCTGAAGGAACATACTCCACGCTCGACGCCACAATGGCAGCTGTCCAAGAATTTGCCATCACTCAAGGCTATTCAGTAGTCAAAAGACGCACTACCGAGAACAGCAAGTGCTGTATTAAGTGTGATCGTGATCGACGAGAGGCACCAACTGACCTTAGATACTAGACAACACGCGACATCTTCCCGCCTCATTGATTGTCCTTTTGAACTATATGCCCGTATACTTAGGATCGATGGACAGTGGCACTTGAAAGTAAAGAATGCAGAACACAACCATGAGCCCTCGTTTGATATGTCTGGACACCCTAGAGTCAGAAGACTTAACCAGAATCAACAGGCTGCAGTACGACAGATGTTCGTTGCTGGAGTCCCTCCTCAAAGTACCCTCACAACACTGCGACAAGCTGATCCTGATTTATCTGCCATTGCACGTAATATTTACAATGAACGAGCAACGGCGCGACGCGAAAGTCTTAGAGGACGTACTCCTATAGAAGCAATTCTTGATGAATTTAGAGAAGTCAAATACTATTACGATCACCACAGCGACACCGAGAACCATATCATACAACTGTTCTGGGCACATCCTCTATCCATTCGCCTCGCAAAGACATATTCAACAGTTATCCAGATGGATTGCACATACAAGACCAACACGTTTCGTATGCCAATGTTACATGTTGTGGGAATGACTCCTTTCAACAGTACCTTTACTATCTGTTTAATATTTCTTAAAGAAGAAAAAACGATTGACTATATATGGACACTACGGCGATTGCATACAATATTTGTGATCACGGTTTTACCCTGCACTATCGCCACTGATCAAGAATTAATCCTCATGAATGCTTTAGAACAAATCTTCAGCACCTCAGCGCATCTCCTCTGTGTGTGGCATATTCAAAAGAACGCGACTGTAAACTGTTAATTGGCTTTCATTAATGGAGATGAGTGGATGAGCTTCCTTCAAGAATAGGCTCAAGTATGTCATGTACCTATTATACATCTCTCCGTGCTAGCATATTTTCTGATCATACAGTGACTACTTACAGATCTGCCGATCCGAAACCAGTGAGATATATGCGCAGAGATGGGGGGAGTTTAGCGCCAAATATGCAACAAAACCCACAGTCTTGGAATACATACGCACCACTTGGATTCCTTATAAAGAGAGATTTATTTCTGCATGGGCAAACCAATGTCTCCACTTTGGCGATGTTAACACTTCAAGAGTTGAAGGAGCTCACTCTGCTACAGTCAAAAGTTACCTAAAGCTGTCCACTTTGGATCTACGCTACGATTTTCAACGCTTAAAGCTGGCACTGGAAAATCAACGGAAGGAATTTGAAGCTAAACTATCAGTTGAACGTATGCGGGTATATCACCACTATGATATTCCTTTCTAACAAGAGGTGGTAGAACGAGTTCCTTCGTTTGCACTAAATGAAGTGCACAAGCAGTTGGTGATCGCAAAACGGCCGTCAACCAAAGCAAATCCTCTGTGCACTAGCGGATTCACAACATCTATGGGCCTGCCTTGTGCACACACTCTTTGAGCAGGGCTAGCCACCAACCAAATTCTGCATCTCGAGGATTTCCATTCCCACTGGAAGCTTACAAACCCCACACCTGCGACCATACATATCCTTCTCAGTGAACCTCCAGAACCTGCAACCCTTGAACCCCTATTGGCATCAATCAATGCGACCTACCAACAATTAGCTCCACACCAACAGCAAGCTACACTCTCTCAACTATCACAGTTGTCCAATCAAACAAGGGAAGTTCCCACCAATCCAGCCGTAGCTCGCACCCGAGGCCGGCCACAAGGATCCAGCAATAGGGAAGGATCTAGTACCCGTAGAAATCCCTCTGCTTTTGAAAGAATTGGAAGGATCCAGAGACATTGTAGGGAATGTGGGAGTACTGAGCATGATCGTCTGCGTTGTCCGGATGTGGTGCGTGAATAATTCTTGTAGATTAATAACAGTGGTTGCATTGATAAATCAGTCTCGTCTGCAATGTTGTTTCCGCGGTTGCCAAAGTATCCAAAGGGCGGAATGAGCTCAAAGAAGTACCTCTAGATAGCGTTCCATTGTATGGCAAATGCAGCTCCTTTGTGAGTGCATGCTCAATGTGAAATAGTAATTGCTACTAAGACGAAATGAGGAATGGAGAAGGGTATAGTTTCTAAATAGAAGTGGAACAGATGAATGACAGCCTAGTTACTGTCTAAGTATGTGCGAGATCTCGCCTGCAACGAGATATAAGCACGCGGCTCAGTATGTATGAGATCTTTCCTGTATCATGCAAAGAGAGAGAATTCTGGTGATGTGATTGCCAAATATGTATCCTGGTCCTGATCCCAGTCACGGAGGTGTGGGAATAGTAATTTTGGGGTGTCAGAATATCAATTCCCTTTTAATATTTTGGGCATTTTTTTATATTTCTACTACTTCTTTTAGCATTTTAACATTCTTAAAATATAATATTTTTATGTATCCCTTATATACATAATGTTTCATTTTATTTAAAGATATTTTATATAATTTAAATATGATTAAATTTTATTAAAAAATGATATATTATTATTATTATTATTATTAAAGTTTTTAATGTAGATTTAAAATTGATAATTTTATTTTATGAAGATCAATAGTTTCTTTAGCTTAGAAATACATTTCTCGAATTTTTAGTTAAACTTTATCAAAACATATTAATATCAGTTCTTTTATTTTTAGTTTAGAATTCCAATTTTTAGTATTTTGTTGCATTATTGATCTTTGAACCGTGATATTATTTCATATTAATTTTTATTATTTTTATATATTTTAATTTAAAAATAAAATATTTTTTAATCTAAGCTAATTGTATTATTGATATTATTATTATTATTATTATTTATTATTATTATTATTATTATACAAGTTGTATAACACAAGATATTACATGCTAGTGTAGATATCTAAAGATATCAAAAGTTTTCATAAAATTATTTTAGAAATTATTATGGACATGTAAAAATTATTAGTTTTTATAAGTTATAAGTGTTTAAATATATGATTTAATATTTTTTTTATTTTTATTGTTATTGTTACTGTTGTAGCAATACTTAATTAATTATTTTTTAAAGTAATAGAAGGGTATTGAATGTATCAAAGATTTGTAACTTCTGCACTTATTAGATAGAATTGGTGTTGTTTGATTTATTTGTATTAAAGATTGCACCATACATTTGTAAGATGGATTTTAGTAAGATGATTGCATCTTGTTGTATGATGATTTTAATATTTTTATTTAAGTGTCAGTGCTTTAGAAAACATTAAATAAAAATGACTTATGTTTTATTTTAGTAGAATTCTATATATAAAGATATTGAAGGTTTTTGTGTACATTGGACAAAAATTGATATTAATTTGTTGTTATGCTTTAGTAGATTAATTGTGTATATATATATATATATATATATATATATATTGCACCATCTTTCTATATTTGTTGATAATGAGTCTTTATAAATATGTTTATTTATAATATTCAATCCAATGCTTAAATATTAGATTTTTTTTCTTAAACTTTTTTTTTTTTATCAAAACTACATTTTGACATCAAGTGCTATAGAATTTTCAAATATATAAAAAAATTAAGATAATTTTCTCAGTGCATTTTAACTATTTTAGTAAAAATGATATTATTTGTATGTTTTATAAGTTATCATGTCTATTCAAGTATTATTGTTATTATTATTTTTTATGTATATTTTCAAGTACGTTTTTTTTGATATGTACATATATATATATGATGTTTATAAAATTAAAATGTAATTGCAATTTCAAAACACATTACGTGGTTGTTTCTATTTTATTGTCACACAATGTACGCTCTAAGTTAACCTTCATTTCTTTTTTCCTGCTATGTATCTTATACTGTTTTAAGTAATTTTATTGTCGTGACTTTTAAAAAAATTACATATACCATATAAATCGATGAAGCAACTTGCATTGAATGTTGTTGTAATTTTGTTGTTTCAAGAATATCTTTTCTCTAGTGTATGAATCCTCTCTCATTGTTATAGAGTTCTACACCTGCTTGGAACAAAAAAACATGATTCATCAACATTCATTGAATTGCTGTGTGTTGTCACCATTGTTAAGAAAGATGAAGCAACTCTGGATTAAATCCAAGGTTGGTAAGCGCAGTATCATTCCAAACAAGTTCTCTCTCCCTCTGCACTTCTTTTTATCTCCAACACCTACATGTTGCATGTGAATGTTTTCATTGCCTGGAAAGCACATGAAATGTGTAGCATTGCATGTCTCCCCAATTGGAGTCCGGGATGCAGCTCACACTTCTCTGGTCATGAACCTATGCTTTTGTGCAGGTGGGTTTGTGCTTCACAAAGGGCCACTTTGTTGATTTCATTTCTGTATGTTACTTCTTTGTGTGTGGTCTGGAGATTTGGTAAGTGAAGAGCATCTATTATGTTGAGAAAAGCTGTGGAGAGAGGAGGAGGTGGCCGCGGCGGTGGAGCCTTGGGAGGAGGCGACTTCGCTACGTAACGGCAGCGAGCGTGATGAATGCTTCGGAAACGCACTCCATTTCGCTGGCGCAATGAGTCGTGCTGCGACGGCGCGGCGCATCATGTTCCCGCTTTCAAGCGTAACGCTCCCCTTCGGATGGCATTGGCATCGGCTAGCCATCCTTACGTGGAGGAGCATCTACCGGAAAGGCGAGAGTGATGATGCCAGCCCAAGGGCGTGTGTAGGGCGAGGACCACACGCTTTCACCTTATCCTATCGGCAGCTTTTTGGCAACACCCTCTCTCAGCTCAGGATTCCACTTCGGACTCAAGTATCTGCAAACCGACACTGTTCGATCGCGTTTTCGAGTTTGATGCTGCTGCCACTGCCCCCCCCAGAAAGTTGCGCATAACTTCGTGTGATACCGTGCTTAATTTGTCGATCAAACTAGTTCGGACGTCATGGCGGGACTTGCTGCCGCGAATTCGATTGTGGGCTCTTGCGCCTCGTTGGTTGGGGAGTGCATTGCCGCCCCCGCCCCCGCTGCTGCCGCCTCCGTCCAGGCATGTACGCTGTTTTGGAGCTGAATCGACTTGTCAATGAAATTTGATATTTTTTAGGATTGTAACTACGTGAGGTGTGGGCAGAAGCACACAATGCGGGTCACAATATTTTGGGATGCTCGCAATAAATCTGGGCTTTTATCAACTCTAATGACAGGCTCAAGCAATTTGAATCGCATGAATCCTCGTTGAATTTCACTGAACGTATTAAAGTAACAGTTGTATGGTACAGTCGATACGTGCTGCTGCAAGGACATTCCCGTTCAACGCAGAATTGAGAATCTCCTTGTACGTTCTGAATGTGGCTAGTTGTCCAAATAGTTGATGTTCATGTTTGTGGAATGGTGCCTACATTGGCAGTGCGTAAAAGCTGATGTATCCTGTTATGTTTGCAGATGGGACCTGTGAGGTGCGCCGCGAGATCTGACGCTGAGATCGTCAACAGGCGCTCCATGATCGCGGCCGCTGCTGCCTCCGTGTTGGCGATCGCCACCCCGGCTTTTGCAGTAACGGAGGGCACACCTCAGAAGGCCGGCACGGGCCTGCAGTACGACGGACCCAAGAAGGGTTCCAAGGAGGCGAAGAAGACCTACGCCAGCATCTGCGTGTCTCAGCCTACCGCCTCCATCTGCCACGGTTAAGTAATCTAGCGGTGCTGCCTAATGTTCGGATACTGGGATCAATGTAGATCTTTGCCAAGGGAATTGGTTTGCAGCTCTAAATTGTATCTTAACTCCATTCCAATATGCAGCCTTGTTACTTGCAATGTGATCCTCAGAGTTGGTTGATGAATGTATCGAGTCAGGCTGCGACCACACTGAATTCGGCCAACCTAGTGAGCTATTCGTCATGCATAAATATCACGCATTGTTTGTTGACTAGTTTTTCTAGCCCTAGGAATGCAGAAGGGTTGAATCGAAAACCCCATTGTGTTCTGCTTCCTTGAAGGATTGTAATGAGACTTGTTACCCATGCAGAGAGTTGAATTGTTGAATGCTCTACCATTCTGCTTGAGCAACCTGCTGCGGAGAGGGGTAAACATTGTTTCATCACAGTAGGGTTGAATGAGCTTAAAACAAAACCAATTGAGAGTTGCATTACAATACGGTCGAGAAATCTTGAGTTTCTGTTCCTCACGAAAAATGGAATACATCTAGAGTCCATAGAAAAGGCACCACTCGGCTTTCTAATACCATTAGAGTACCACTGATAATGTCTCAAACAATGCTACTTGAACAGCGACCAGGTTGTCTGTTGCATTGAGGTTGCGCATCGCAGTACACAATGTAGCATGAAAATCCAGAACGCAGTGGATGTATACCAAACCGCAAACTTGCATTGTGACTGTAGTCTGTAAATGAGATGAAACGGCATCGACACATACTACATTACCAGAATAATATTTAATCTATTAATTCTGAACTTTCGTAATCACCTGGCTTTGCCGTTAAAGCTGTGCTACGAATTGAGTTGTGATTACTGCTGACAGTGAGTGAGCGAATTGAGTTGTGGTCTTGACTCTCAGGTACGACTCTGACATTAGCTTCCTAACGAAGGACGTCAGGAGAGTAACTACGCACCAAACTATCCTACGGAATGATCTGGATATTCATGGGTACGGGAAGAAGGAAAACTTGAAAACGTGCTAACAGTAGCTGATTGTTCACTCACAGCGACAGGTAGAAGCGTGTGTGTGTTCGCAGAATCGAAAGTAGACATAGAGCCTAGGTAAAAGGGTTCAGAAATTGCTAAAAGGCCGTCAAAATAACTGTTGAGATGTAATTGGGCTGTCTGATTACTCATCCAACTAGAAATAGGTTGCATTGCTGATGCATTGTTGAGAAGTTGGTGGTTCATGAGCCGCTCTTCTGCCAAATTCGCCTTTTCTTCCCACAATGTGTCTACATCCAACAGTCCACATGATCCGCGACCCATGCTTGGCATCACAAAGCTTGAATTTTCCATTTCGGGTAGTGAAGGTAGTACCTGCTCATTGACATCGTCATTTGCTTCAGCAACCGATTGAAACCAAATTCGTGTGTTTTTAATCACAGTAAAATGGCAAAATTCATGCCGTCTTAAGAAGCAGTGAGAAGGGCGACCCAACGACTGTAAACACTTCTCTGTGTCTTCACGCATGATCAAACATTTTGCTTCAGAGTACGTGACAGTGAACGGTCAGCCTGTTTTTAGTTAGATGAGTAACCAGACTGTCAGTGGACAGAAAACAATCAGCGAGGCTGTTTGAGAGCACTGCCTACTGTCTGCTGTTTTGAGAGTACTGTATACTGTGTATTTTTTCAGTTATGAAATATCCAATAGGATTTTTGCTTTTGACTAAGCAACCTCGATCCACTACCTTAGAGTATTCATTGGAAGCTTGATCTTACCTCTTCGACGTTGGAGCTGCTTCGCACTTTGCCTGATGCCCTTTGCACACTTGGGCTCTTATGGAGTATTCGACAAAGTACCCAATCATCCAACTGCACATTTTACGACGACCATGCTTCAGTATAATCACATGGCATTGGACCGTTACAGGTCAGCCATTGGTGAACCGCAGGTCCTATATCTTAGGACAGAGGTCTCAACATGATAATTCGGTGGCAAGATAACGAAACTCGAAGCTTCGTTTTCGGAGAGATTTGATGAAATTCATTTATCTTTAAAAAAAAAACATCATTATTCGTAAAAGCCCGCGACAAATGACGTAAACTTAAGAATCCTTCAAAGTGCATATTATGCATGATAATTTTCTGATACGTACTCTCAAAGAGTCTGGCTTTCTGTGAATGCTTGAAGGGGAGCACATGCCATTAGCAAGGCGATATTCATGCATGACCCAGGCAGTCTTCACACCCTTGGGTGCTCGACCCTTGTAAAAGACCAACGCTTTTTTCACCCCAATTTTTTGCAGTGTCCCACGGGAAGCTTTGTGCACTGGTCGATCTGTGCCCGTGGCTTTCCAGTATCCGGAAGCTGCAGCTCGGTTAGGGCGAGCTCCATTTGGGTATTTCCTGTCTCTTGGGCTGAAAAAATACCACTCTCCTTCTCCAAAAATAGCCTTGCCTGCAAATCAAAGTAGAGAATCGATTCTTTTAATTTATACGCTCTTGAACTTTTACAGATTCCCGGAAAATCAGTAGGCCGCTCTGCTATGTTTCAACAAATTTGACCCTTCCGAAATTAAGCTCACAATAAAAGTTGCAAAAGGGATTAGCCGAAATCCTCGGTATTAATTTAATTTAATTCGATTTAACATGTTTGCTTCTTTACTCAATTGCCTCAAAACCTCGAATCATTAATATGCGTGTTCACATATTCAATTATATAAGTCGGTACTACCAGTAAGTGAAGTGGCTGAGAGATCTTGACACAAATCGTAATCAATATGACATACTTTTCTAGAATCTCCTCAAGAAAATTTATTTACGCACATGCAAATGAAAAGCCTATAGGTTGAACTATTCATCATCGGAACTGATTAAAATTCAGAAAATTTAGTCCGACATTGTTTGGTATACAGAAAGTTCATGCAACATCTGCTAGTCTTCATTTGTAAGACTTGATTGAAATTTACGTACTGAAAAATAAAATCAATGATTACGGGCGCTGTTAGTTTGCAGAATGATGTCCGGATTCGAGTTAGGAGCTCACCTGGAAGGTCCCAAGGGTCGAATTTGTAGAGATCAAGCTCGGTGATAACAGGGATGGAGAACATCTCTGATTCTGCCTTCCGCCAAAGATAATGCAGCACAAGCTCCTCGTCTGTAGGGTGGAACCTAAAACCAGGCGGCAATTCTATCTCTGATAGTGGCACGTTCGACGAGGAAGCCATGATCACCATTTACCAACCGAGTCACATGAGGTTTCTAGCAACCCCCCGTGTATGCACAAATCTTTAGCTTTATCCTTCTTTTAGTTTTGTGTTATTGCTAATCATGTTCAGTTTGCCTCAGCACTTCAAAGAGGTAAGCTAAGAGATCTTTTCAGATCTAGCTACTTTTAACCTGTCTACACGGCGATGTCACAGAGATTCCTCACTGACCTCGCACGCACTTCATGCCCGATTCCACTGAATGGTTCGGAAATTGCTCAGTAAGTAGCCGAAATCTTCTTGAATACAGACGCAACCAGGCTCTTTTCCAGCCAAATATAGAGGGAAGTAAAATCTGCAGAGTTTAGATTTCAAATTTGCTGCACCATCATTTAATGTATCCTTGAAGCAAAAATGAGAGTATAGTCTAATTCCAAATCCAGAGCGCTACTTGATACTTGATACTTGTCCCCCAGGTGCTTTAGCTGTTGCCTAATAAGAATTTTCCCTCTGCAAATAAGATTCACAAACTTGTTCCGTTTGATAATCCCTCACCTCTGAAATCTGCATCTAGAAATGAACAAGTGAGCATGTAGCACAACTTCACAGATGCAACTCCACGCCGACACCTAGAATCACTATTTCCTCCTCAATATCCGCTTTAAAATATCCTTTAAAATATCCTAAAGCAGAATACGATATTCTAAATAATCCTGATCCTAGCCATTCAGATGTTTAATTCTTACTACGGAATAACGTATATGTCAAGCAGAAATAGCTGAATACACCACACTCTGCAAACCAACTCAAATGCCAAAGACTCCACACCTTTACACCGGAATCTCTCTGTACATGAGGAGTAGCAACATACAGTAGCCAACAAAGGAGGAAACGTTAACTGTAGTTTAGGTTCAAGCACATCGACACATGTAGACTATGGAACTCAGCTGCAGTAGTAGGGTTATTATCATACATAGCTTGGGAGTACGAGGTCTTGGCGTCATCATCATCAGCCCGTCCCCTCTTCAATGGATGGAGCTACATGTACGATTTCTTACTCTTTAATAACGGGTGGTAAGCTGGATCACATGATGCAAAAAGCAAAGGCGATCGGTTTTCAAGGGAGAGCTAACCAGTGCAGCTCACTGTCATGAGGTCGAGGGACCAGGCTTCAGACGTGCACAAGCAAAATTAACAATTTCATGACCAGCATAAAGTCATTAAAGTGGATGTTTCTAATGGTATCAGAGATGACAAGTAAGAAGAGCCATGATTCATGAGCCCTTTCTTCATTACATACGATTCATTTGAGCTGTTTCTTTGGGAAATTTGGAAGTAGATTAGAGTAACGGTAGAGGGATGACCATAATCCTCTAAAAGAACAATTTTGCATAAACTTGGTTGCTTAAAGATATTATGATAATTTTAGTACTTGATGTTGCCCAAATCTTTGCAACGTAACCCAGAGTTTTCTTTTGGGTTATGGATCATGAATATCCATAGATAGCCTCATACCGATACCAACATAACATAGAAACGAATGGGTGTAATACAAATGTGGATCAACTCGTGACACTGACTAGACAACCTTGAAAAACGTACGAGTGGTGAGATAAGATTAGATACCAACCATATTAAGACGGCCCCACGTCAAGCACCTTTGGCTACTAATCATGTAATGTCCTTGCACCCACGACCAGGCCAGAATTTTCATTGGTGGAACAGGAAGGCCTCTTCAACCAAAAACCCGGAGATTCCAACAAAAACACTTATTATTGTGCCGTATCATAACCCCTTGTCCTGGACGGTAGATGCCGATCGACCGCAAAATTAGGTGCTCCTTTGGTTAAGGATTCCTCTAGAATGACACAGGATTCAGATAAAGTGGATCCAAACTGCAATGACGTATAATTTCAATGAGTTCTCTGGGACTCACCAGAGTTGTACATAACAGTGTGGCATAAATGCAATCCTCATGGCCAGCATTGCGTGGTAAACATGTATGCTGCTAGATATGGAGCCTGAAAGAGAACCCGAGGTTGGTTGCTAGATGGCAGTCTGATTCAACTAATATTCACTATAAATTCGTGCACAGAAGAAAACTGACTAATGTGATAACTCACTTGAAAAAATTCTGCTTGCACCGTTTCAGCACTACCCAAAATACTCTGCTAGGAAGCCCACTTTTTTGTATATGGAAATCATTTCCTATTTCTATGTCCTGCATAGTCTTTGGATAAAAAATGCGATCAGTAGCCACGGGGAAGTCGACTCTCTCAAACCATGCACATGCATTCGTAAGGTCTGGTTAGGGTAAAAAAATTCAGGCACCTTTGGCAGGTTGTATTAGTAAATGTGATGGCAAATGAGCTCTGGTATTTTCAACCTCGACCACAGTACTGTTTACACTAACAGCTCCTGAGGGGGCAACTGCACCCTTTTCGAAGTACCTCCCAAATGCAAGTCTTCTATATGGATTCTATGTGGAATCAAAAATAAAATGAAGTGCAGCCACTTTTCTGAGCGGAGATAGTGCTTACCAGTTTGACGAAAATTTCTTCAGAAGTGTAGAGTAAATCTCAATTAGCAGTCATGGTCATGAGAGGTTGCTTCGAAAATGGCTCGATTCCGCAAGCCGCCTACACGGTCCAACATCTGGGTTGACTCAGCTAGCATAAAGTGTAGGAAGTTGTATTGGGTTGTATCAAAAAATGCGGTGGTCAATGAGCTTTGAAATTTTCAACCTTGGGCACAGTACTGTTTACATCAATGGCTCCTGCAAGGACAACTGCGCTGAAGTGGGTCAATAGAGTTGGTCAATGCGAGTCACGATATGAGTTTAAACCATTACCAACTGGTCTCCTCCACACTCCAGAATATTACTAAGTACATCAGATGATGTTAACTGATGTATAAACATTAGAAACATGCAACAAAATTACACGATACATGATAATAACACTCGAATTGTAACTATCGAAAAGTACGTGAACTCCTGCCAGGTACGCTGGTGTTAGATTCACGGACATGACTGGATTTATGAAGTTGGCTGGACCAAAGGCCACGCACAGTCAGGTAATTACTCACAACATTGTGAATATTCAGTGAGCCTACTTACAGAACTACCTCGACAATTCAACTTACATGCAGTTTTATAGGACCCACCAGGCCTGTAACGTAGTACTTGAAGTCTTATGAATAAAAAATTAGCCAACACTGATCAAATGCTGAATCAAAATTCTGTTGTCCGCGGGCTTCTTAGCAGCTGCAGGCAAGTGAGTAAACATTTGATCGTCCAACATTCATGTAACATAATCAAGAGAAAGAAGTGACGAGTAAAAGGAGCCCAATGTGCTAGAATGGAGGATAGGTAGTCTAAATATTAATCCAAGGAGCGGTACAACGAATCTGCCGATTACCAAGACAGCAGGTAGTCAGCTAGATGAAGTCAAAACAAAATTTCTCTGATTGCTAATGGCTACAGAAGAAAAATTGGTTTCTAAGTTTCCAAGATATTCATTAATCTGGAACAAGTAATTCAATCCGCCATTGGTACGAATAAGCTCACCATAGTCCCAACCCTACATGAAGCAACTCTAGAAGGAAGGGCAATATTATTGAACGGCCCACGATGATTACGTTGCGTGTTGTTTGCTAGAACAATACTACATATGGATTCAGTGCGCCTATTTTCAACATGAAAACTGACAGCAGATAAGGCTCACACGCTGTGCAAGAGCGATGAGGTTGATGACAACCAATTATCGTACTTAAGTCCTAATTTCAGGTTGTGCGGATCAGCAGACGCAATCGATGTCGTCGGCACCGCCAACAAATATGTCTACACATCTTCTCCTCCGACGGTCTTGAATGTAACATTAACAAGATGTAACAAATTCCTTCAGAAGGATTTTAAACTTAGCTCCTATGATTAAGATAGAACAATTCATTGTTCAGCTAAAGCGGCCATATCTTCACGATGAAGATAACCTCTAAAGAAGTCCATGACATACATACCTTGTACCTTAAAATGAAGCTCGATGAAGACATCTCCTGCTGAAATATGTAGAATAAGCATCGTCTTCATTTACCCGAGTAGATTGACCCCCGGTTCACAGGAAAGAAATAAAAATAAAAAACAGGCACATTTACATACAACATTCCAGTTGCGAGAACTATTAATGACACGGCAATAGGAAGAACAGTTGATCCTCATTGAGCAAGTTACCTTGACAGAAACTCATCAATAGAGCGCAGGTTGTTCCAGATGATGGCCAGTCAGTCGGAGCGCCGACAAATTTATATGCTACCAGTGGTAGCTTCGAACACGGCTAAGAGATACCCAAGGATTCACTGTGTAAGCCCCCAATACGCTGGCCAGAATATATGGGCTCCTTAGCCCAAGCTCAGCCTATGATTAGAGGTAACCGCTGTGTTTGCCCGGCCCTGCGACGATGCTCTTAGCAACTCCGTTTGCCAATGGGCATAAATAGATGGCTGAGAAGTTATTCTAAAAATCCATGAAGCCGTATGGTGCACTTTCGAATTTTCACATTCTGATTCTTGAATCATAAAAAACATTGTCATAAATAAGGAGGATGCTAAACCAGGAATTATAGCGAGGCGATTCTTAAAAATCTAAATACCGCTTCCTCTGCTGTGCTAGGTCGTCATTAGTAAATCTGAGCATTGAGAACTGGGTATTGTAAGAAGAATCATGCCAACAGTTAAATGCGATAGCCTCTTTCATAATACCTGAGAATTGGAAGCAACTTGGGCAATTCCCAAATAAGAAAAAAACGAAAACCAGAAGATAGAACTCCTCAGAGGTACTCCTCGACGTTGCAAGATACAAGACTGTGTTTCTAACTCAAGTTTACTCACAAGAGCAACAAGTAAAGCACGCGAATGTTAGACTTGATAGTATCAGGGTTGAAAATGTAAATGGTACCACAAGTATGAAAATCACAAGATAATGACATTTCCACACGTCCCCCACGTACCGCTCTCTCTATCACAATGATTATTGGAATGGAACTACATCAATCTATCTAGACTAAGTGAAAGAGACGCCATAAAAGCCCTGAATAATATTCAAGACATTCACCGTGTACCATTCGAAGCGTAAGTCACAAATCTAGAGTGTTCAAAGCCCAAATAACGAAAGGAAGACAATCAGTTAGAAGTGCGCAGCAGATATCATAGGCAACTTTCCCGTGATAAAACCAATATAGTCATCTCAGCAACAGTTTTTCGTGCTGGAACAATTTGGAAATAACAAGAATCCCAAAAAAGATCCAGGTAAGCTACGATTTATACATGTTTGATGTGTTTGAGAAGAATCAACTGAATGAAAACCATAAGTGAAGAAGGAACTGTTAGAGCACAACGCACACGACACATGAGACTTGCATATAATATCTATCGCGCCTTGATATCAGTGCCGGCACAGAAGATACCAGGAACTGTGCTAAAGATTCCAAATATACGTGCGGAAGAATGAATCCGAAGATTTTCTACACTCGCTCGCAGTTTTGATGGCATTTCATCCTTAATTGCATTTCTGGCTTCAGTCCTGTTCATAGTTGATGCTACGATACCGAAGCAATCATATCCAGATGTACTGCATTGTTACCATTCCCCTCTTTTGTTTAAGATAAATTAACTTGATTCACGTGAAAGCGAGCAAGGATTTCTGAGAGCATCTACTCTGCACACTACGTTGATCCATGCAAAATTACAAATGCGAGTCAAGAAATCATCGTTTATATCTTTTAATCCTATTTTAAAAGACAGACACGGAACAATTCTAGACGAAATCCTGCTAAAGTGAAGGGGCAGGCAAGAACTCCAAGACTCAAGGCAAGGAATGATGTCCAAGTTCACCAATGAAGATCCTACATTTCGTGAACCACATTGTCGTGCAACGCAACACCGAAAAGACGTCAACGCGCAACTGAAAACCAGCAGTACGTCACAATCTTGCCATACCCAATCAAACCCCTCGGGAGCAGAAGGGGTCTGAACTAAGAATGCCCTAAACATCATAGCTTACACTCCACATGATGAAGTCTTACTCCCTCGTCTCCCATAATTCCACACCACCGCCGTAGCTTACAAGCTCCAAAACTAGCAGGAATAGCACATGAGAGGCACCAAATCCATTACATACAGTGCGTCGAGTAGGAACTCGGAACAAGAACAATTGGAATTGCAAGTGGACTCTAACAGAGTAAGATTACAAAAGTTGATCGACATCCGAGCCAGAAACAATAGACTATTAATATCTTGCTCAACTACATGCAATTGCGTTCGAGCTGATGCAGCGGGATGGATCGACAGCCACAAAATATTCGGGACAGTCTTGAAGTAGGACGTGACGACATTGCGTTGTGAAAGGGAAGGATGAGACCGGCTGTGGCGATTACAAGCTTGGCGTCGTCCACTTCATTCCACCGCGGCGCTTTCATCTCGCACCTGCATGATTTAATACAATTCCAATGCCAGCCAGATATTCGTGAGCGCATGGTTCCTCGAGGAATGGTACCCGGGTTTTATTGAGGCCCTGTAAACTTAGGGCCGGGTTTTGAATTTACCCCCGACCGTTTTCCCGCCAATTACTTCATTCTAAGAGAGTGGTCTTTAGGGACTTGTGAAATGGAGCGGAAGACTTGAAATTTCTGAAAATAGAATGAGGATATGTGACGGTTCTGGAGACTGGCAACTTGGATGTGAAGAGGGGGTCTTGAACCTAAAGTCTTGATGCATATGGCCTTCGCCACTTCAGTGTGTCTAAATGCGTGTTACCTTTGTCTGTTCTAGTTTCCCAAGAACTCCGTCTTGTACGCTCCTGAGGGTTTTGCTCTTCTGTGATTGATTCGCCATGTCTGGCCGCGGCAAGGGTGGTAAAGGCCTCGGAAAGGGTGGCGCCAAGCGTCACCGGAAGGTGCTGCGTGATAACATTCAGGGTATCACCAAGCCCGCTATTCGGCGTCTGGCTCGTCGTGGCGGAGTGAAGCGTATTAGTGGGCTGATTTATGAAGAGACTCGTGGCGTATTGAAGATCTTTCTGGAGAATGTCATCAGAGATGCAGTCACCTACACTGAGCATGCTAGGCGCAAGACTGTGACGGCTATGGATGTTGTGTATGCCTTGAAGAGGCAGGGGCGAACCCTTTATGGTTTTGGCGGCTAGAGCGTAAGCTGAGACTGCGCTTAGCTTTTACGGTGTTCTTAAACACCACCAATTTGTGGGATTAAGCTTCTGTATTTGATTGATATCTTTGCAGGTCTTAGTCGCTCCTGTTGGTGATTATGTTTTTGGTGCACAGCCATGGGATTTTCTCTGTTGGTGCTCTCTCTAATTATCCTTCAATCTCGTTATTTTCGTCCGATTGTGTGCACTTTGTGTCTGAAGGTGAATGTGGACAAACACACACCACCAAGGTCGCTTCGAAGTGCGATTTGTGAATTTTTTTAGTGTTCACACTTCAACCCAAGCTCTGCCTCATAGGAACTCGAAGGCTACTTTGTATTTGCGAACACACATAGCCTCTTTGTGTGCTTACATCTATACATTACTCCACTCTCTCTAGCGTGTATCGTGATTTTGTTTACCTGACCTAAATTGTGTTCAGAGGGTAAAAACTGACCATCATCTGCTCATCCCGTGGCATTGCGTTGCCATACAGATTGTGATGGTGCCAGTTGCTCTTCCGAAATATCTTTGCTTGCGTAAAATTTCCATCTGGCACAATTCTTCCTGGCCATTTGAAGCTGTTGCACCACAGGAAAACATCACGTTTAGGCAGTATCTTTCCACCACGGTACCCAGCGGCGTGCATGGTGGTACTCCATCATTGGACAGGTAGGGTTTGTGTCGCAGACATAGCGTAATGAGATGGTCTCACCACGTGTGCAATTCACTGGAGCTCATTCGCAGGGCTTATCATAAGGTCGTCTAGAAACATTGTTCCTGCAAGCTTTTACATCCATAAAAGTCTAATGATTGTGAGTCAAACCCCCGCCTCCATAACTGCCAACTTCAATCAATCCCCCCTCCCCCCCTCCGAAAAATTACTAATTTCTGTAAACAGGTTGCTCTCAACAGTGACCTACTCTATGATATTTTGCAGTGGTGAAGAGAACTTGTTTTTATATGTCAATATCACATATCTCAGACCCTTGAGGTATGAAGCATGATTGTACTCTAGCTGTTGTATGTTCTCGTATCCTATAAAAGCCTCTACCTTCAGAAAAGAAACTGAATAGTCTTCGTCCATGTTACGTTTCATGTATCCAAAAGTAGGGTATATATTTTTAGGTCAATTGAATTTCCATCTTGTTACTTCCCTCAGTCCCTCATTCTAAGCGAGACATAATCTGTTGTAGTCTTGAATTCAACCACTCCACTAAACCGATAGAAAAACTCTTAAATAATGAGAAGATTATACTTAACTCTTTTTAAATGACTGAATTCCTGATTGATTCTTTTGTTTTTGTAAATGACGGTTGGTTGGAATAATGCTATCATCCTACCAAGTATTTTTTAATTACAAAAGGTTAGAGATGCTCTACACGTTATTATACAAAAAAATTAAGATTGCAACTAATTAAGAAATTATATTAAAAATAGCATTCCAAATTTTAATTTTTACTTAAATAAATCTACTAAAATAATTTAATGGATGGAATTACATTTTCTTTTAAATGTATTAAAAGGATCTTTAATGTAGTAGACATACACTTAATTAAGACATCAACAACATTTAATCCTACAAATAATTACTTTCAAAATTACAATGATGTAAAATAAATTAATGCAATATAGTTTAAATTTATAATTAAAATAAATAAACAAATAAATATCTTTACTTCTTTATATTATATTATATATTCTTTATTTTAAAAAATAAATTTAATACTTAAAATATAATACTAATTTGATCTTATATATCATAATTATACTATAAAACTAATTATATATCACAATTCAATCATAGATCTTATATATGCTTAAATTACAATTATAATTAGCTATATCATAAAACTAATTATAAATTATAAGATTTCATAAAATATAAATTAGTTATTATTTTAATGATGTTAATAAGAAATTTCACTATAATATTTTTATTAATATATTTATTGCATAATTTGAAAAAAAAATATTCATTAAATACTTTAAAAAATAAATTCAGATCACGAAACTTTAATTTAAAAAAAAATACACAAAGTAATTAAGATTCTAGAAATAAAAAAAAAATACCAACAATTAATGATGTAGGGCTTTACTTTTCTAAAGAATTTTGGCTCTTAAAAGAAAATAATTATTTGAATGTAATGAACAAAGCCATATAATAAATTTACTTCATTTTAAGTAAAAAAAAGAAAAAAAAAAAAGAACACTCAAGGACAAATATTCTTTTTTATAGTATTAAAGTAGAAATTGAGTTAATTTATAAATTACAAAATTTTAAATTTTCTAAATTTATTTTAAAAATCTTTTATAAGTATTTATCAAATATATCTTTTATTAGTTCTAATAAAATTATTAATTTAAATTAAATTTATTTTGATAATAGACATATACTTTAGATAACTTTCTTTCAACTTTAAAAAATTAAAAATTAAAATTAAAATCTAAAAAGTCTCTTTTAGGAAATTAGACTTTTTCAAATTTTATAATAAAATATCAATTACCTCTTCATATTGTTATCATCAAATAATTTGATTATATTAAAATAATTGTTGATATTAAAAATATATATATATTTTATAGAATTTAAGTAGCAATTGATGTAGATGGCGATTTTTTTTAGGTTTTTAATTCCAAAGGTTTTCTACTAGATATTTTTTTATTATCTGTTATAATTAATTATTTAATATTTTAAATTTAAATACTATTAAAGTTGATAATATTTATAGCATAAAAATTATTAAGAGTTGATTGAGTTTAATATCTATTTTATAGCCATCTTATTATTTTTTATTCTTTATTGATAATATTATCTTATAACATTTTATACATACTTTTAAAGTTGGTGGCATTATTTGGTTGAGTAATACATGGACATAATAGAAAATTTGTATTTTATTTTTGCAATCACCAAAAAGAGTTACATAAGAAAAGAAAAATATTATTTTAACAATATCATTGGTGTTTAATAAATCTAATACTTAAAAAAAAGTGATTAATTAGCAAAATATTTTATTCAATAATTGAATTCTAATATTTCAAAACTCTTCAAAATTGGCAACAATAGTTTTTTTTTATTTTTATTGTATATTAGTACGTTTTGAAACACATGTTGAAATCTTAAGGCATCAAGAAAGAAGGTTTTTTGAATGTTTAAAGCTTTATGTACTAAAGCTTTAATAGATCATTGTACCACCTCTAAAAATCATTATGATGTAGATAGCTTAGCTAAACAAGTTGTTCAGATTATCAAGCATGGCTTACAAAAGTATGGATTACTTTATGGCAACTATCATGATTAGGATTCAATGTTGCCTTGAATTATGATAAGTTATCATTTTAATAGATAAGCATCTTTGACATCTTATAGTCCTTACCAATTGTTGTATGGATGAAGACCAATCCTATTAAGCTCAATACACTAAAAGCTAGTTTCAATTGTAGACTTTGATGATTATGATGTTTAGACTCAATGTATACATAATTGGACAAAGTTCTTTAAACAAGCCATGCCTATGGCTATGAAAAACTTATTTATTACTTAACATTATAATATCTTAAAATATACTTGCATATGCAATAAAGGGTATTGGCTTCAATTTCAAACATTATCTATAGAAGATTATGTATATTTGCAATATGAGGTGCCTACAACATTTAATGTTAAGGCAAGGCACATAATTCTATGTATAAAGGATGTATTGCCTAGTGGTATTTTATTGTTGGAAGGCAAGGATGGACAAAAGTGGCAAGAGCATTCAAAACTTTTTATTCCTTGTCATCTTCCCATTGATGATTTTATACATCTTAAATTGACAATTATATTAATTGGTCTTCCTTGTATTATATATGGTGAGAAGAAAAAAAATTCTACTATATTTTTGTATAATAAATACCAATGTAGGTAGTATATGGCATATTAGACACTACTTTTTTTAATTCTCCCTTCAGAAAGTTGGATTTGTCCTTATTGTAAGAAATCTTTCAACCATGCATCATCTTATAATAAGGATTGAAGATTTCTTCTACCATGTTTGTTAGACACTTTTCTTGTCTAGCTTCTATAACATTGGCTTAGATGAGTATAGTTTGGCTACAACATCATTGTAGCATTCATCTTCAACTATGTATGTTTTGTGATTCTAGCTAATTGCAGGGACTTCTAATCAATTAAGAAGGAGAAGAGGAGAGGAATTTGAGAGTGTGTTGATTGTGCATTTGTATTTGGTTTAGATTAAATACTTTGTGATTGGTTTGTAGCATTCAATGTGTTGAAAATATTTATTTACTTGGCAATTGTTATGTGATATGGCATTTGTTCCAAATCTTATGAAATGTATATAATTTAGTTTGGTTAGTGGTTTTTCATCAATTGAGATTTTTTTGTTAGTTGACTTCATTAATGTCAACTAAGATTTGGATATGTAAATAAAGAAAAATACTTGACTTGACATGTTGTAAAAGTTTCCTTGGCTTTGGTGATTTATCCATTTTAATAAAGCTTTAGAATTTTTTCTATTCTTCAAATTTGCACTCTTGAATTTTTCCTCTTGGATGTGAGAAATAGCTTAATTTAGTTTTGTATAGATTTCTAATCTTTTCTTAAGAGTTCTTAAGAGTATGTTGATCCTGCACTTGTATTTGGTTTAAATTAAATACTTTGATTTAAGTAGTGCTTGATAACTTGTGATGTTTTGATTTTCATTTATACAAAATGTATATTAAATAAGTAAAAAGTTGTAAGTTATAAAGATGATTTTATAGTTTCTTAGCTATTTTTTATATAAAGATTTTAATTAGAAAGTATTCCTTACATTGTAGTTGCTTTAATTTTAATATGTGATTAAAATTTTCTTCTAAATTTGCAAACCATAGCTTCATAATTAGACTCGAGGGATTTCTCCCCACACAATTAGCCAAAATTACAAAATGTTTTGGACAATATTTTTCTTATTTGATAATTTGTATATCAACATAAAACTTACAATAAAAATTGCAAAGCAATAAAACTCCAAAACTTTATAAAAATCTAATAGAAAGTTGTTCATTTGGAGTTTTGTTGAGTGTGTTAACTTTTATTCTGTCTCTATTAAAAATCGATTTACCGAGCACGAAATCTAGGGGTTCCTTTCTGTCGTGCACTAGTGTAGGATCATGACCATTCGGATCCCTGCACAACGGAACATTTACAGCCTCCTTCGCTGTGGCAAAAGCACAAAGCTCCCGTTGCTGGTGGTGGTTATTATTTGGAAGACCATCTATGATGCGATTGTGGTGGGGACGCCTCCTGCAAGCGTCCAAAGCCCGCCCCCCGTGTCAAACCACCCTCGTTCACATTTCCATGAGCTTTGTTTGTTTGTTTGTTTATTTTTAATTTATTTATTTTTTGTTTTGTCTTTAGAACAAATGGGGTGAACATATTGCTTAAATTAAATCAAGGGTCAAGGATTCACAGGGTAGCTTGCTCTTGAAGATGATTCTCACGGCAATCGGTTCACTACGGACACTTGGAAACTGCCAAAAACCTTTGCGGTCATGCTCGTGGCATATTCGGCTCTCAAATCCCAGCAGAACAATCCTGAGGTCCTGCTTTGCAGCCTTGTGACCAGAGCTTTGGGCGATGCCGTCAATTTGAAAAGAAGGGGGAAGTTTTCGAGTTAGCAACTTGAGCCCCAACTCGTGCTAAATGGTTTTGTACGACTCTGACCAGCACTTCTCCAACAGAATCTTGAGAATGGTAAAGGTCAACGGGACTAATGGAATCATCTATGAAAGCCTGCGAGTGTTTAGAATCTAGAAGTATCCCATCTCCGAGGAATATAAATTCGTGCAATGTGCCACCACTGGACAGTTGGCGCGGTGGTGAGATTGCCTATGCTGCATCGCGTGACGACGGACAAGCAACTAGGGTCATGAACACTTTCCATGAGTGATGTTGCAGGTGGAAGTAGGAGGAAATGATTCCACCCAAGCCAATGCAAATTACAGTTTTGCTCATGTGAGAAGATCTCATGTGGATCTTCGCGGCAGGTACGGCAAGGTACTATTAGACCATGTTTACCTGCCAAGTTGCAAGAGTCTATCCTGAGTTGTCCATCAGCTCAGAGGCAAATGCTGGTTCCATGGCTCCTCCCTGGACACCAACTAGTGCTGCACAAGAATCTCTTCACGAACTTCGATGACTTGCGTACAGGTAATACGGGGATAGTTCGCAACACCAACTGGTTCTTTGTGTAAAGCCCGGCATTCTATGCCATAGGAACTCTGACCCGACTGGGTGAGCATATAGCACAACAGGAACAAGATCGTCGTCATTCGGTAGGGAGTCTGGCTAAAGAGAAACATGAAATGTAGAATCAAACATTTTAATTTCTTTTTATTTAACAACGCCATCCACAAGAAGGCAATCAAAAATTTATAAATCATACCTAGGTACAGATGTAATACTGTGTCATACTTGGCCTCGTTTGCGTCGAGGTTACATTTACACAGGGTGATACCTTGACCTTACATTACGAGGCTCTCACGTCCCACTCGTTGGCTCCATCAATCTAGCAAGCCGATGCTCAATCAATCTTACCTACAATGACTGCTTTCAAATCTTACAAGTGAATCTAGGACTACCAGAGGCTCAGCTCATGTCTCGGATGGCCGCATGCTGAAAGGCTCCTGGTCAAGGCTCATATAATTACAGACGCAAGCCCTGGCATAGAAAGCAACCGAAAAGAGACCAATTAAAAAGTTCTTTCTTCGTCGTTCTGGCTTGTCCAGTTGAAGACGCTGGGGTTAATTGTCACGCTGCAGCTCCAGAATCTGACTCCCACCATCTTGTTCTCAACCCAGAATTCGGTAGTGGTGGTCCGGCCGAATAGTCAGACAATAGCAGCATTTCAAATTCTTGATAAAACCGAGTATCCATAATCTACACCAGTATGATCCAACCAATCTCAGCAGTCTAAAATCTACATTCAAAAAGTTAATCAGATCTCTGCATGTGTACTTTTGTACATTATGTTGGCCAACTTGAAGCTCAGCTGATCTTCAAAATTTTCCAGAACAGATCGTTGTCATGAGGCCTGAATCTAATGCCTCCTCAGTACGACCACTCTTGCAGGACATCCATGGCTGGTCCAGCCACCTCCGACAGCCCAGAAAAGCTGCCTCGCAGAGAGCGATTGTAGAGTCCACTACCGTCCGTGAAACACGTCGAAGTCTGGCTGCTATCCTCAGCAACAGATTGCAAGGGAAGGAGGGAACCGTCACAAGGGAAGTACTCTGCATTGAGAGCATCATCGGGCCAAGCGTAATCAAGGTTATTCAATCTTTGGCTGCTTTCAACTTCGTCCTCTCCTTCACTGTAGGGGTTGTGCGATGGTTCCAGTTTCGCTCGTATGCGGATGCCATTCACTGTAGTCAGGGGATGGCTGATCATGCTTTGAGGAGGTGGAGAGAACAACTTGACTATGTCGGCACCGTTCTGATGGTTGTAATAGGGCTCCTTCATCATGTTGTACTGGTACAAATCCATCGCCGGGGTTGCTATAGGAATTGACCCAGGCGCAGGCAACTGGTGTGCCATAACGGACGCAGCGTGGTCTTGCCTGAACTCTTGGGCAACATGGTCACCGCCCCCTCGTAAACTATCCTGACATTTGTAGAAGGACTCAGCGGCTGTGCATGTGTCGCAGTCGTCCGAGTCAGTTACTGTGGGATTCGGGGAGTTGTCCCGGTGGTTGCCAGGAAGTGCATCAAGCGGATCAGCAAGTTGATAGCTTGGCATGCCAGCGTACATGAAACTAGGCTTTTTGTTGCCAACCGTCTTCTGAAAGACACGGCATACTACCCATTCGTGATTCTGCAGCAGTTAACAGCTGTTATTCTATGCCTTTCTTTGATACTCACAGGTTGGTGCACATCATCTTTCAAATTGACAGAGCAGTACAAACCTAGTGAGAAGTTTGATACAGAAATACTGCGCGTGACAGAAGGGCAGCGCGAACAAACCTTGGATTGGTGAGATTCATGGTTGCTTAGGTGATTACTCAAGTCATTCTCCAGGCGGTACTCGTGCATGATCCAGTTGGTCTTAGCGCCCTTGGGTGCGCGGCCAAGGTAGAACACCAGAGTCTTCTTCATGCCTACCAGAAGATGAGTGCTATAATTCATCACATCCCTGTCCTTACCTGTGGCCTTCCAATACCCCTTCTCAGTGGCTCTGTTGGTTCGTATCCCCGTTGGATACTTCCTGTCTCGCAGGCTGAAGAAATACCATTCCTTCTCCCCTACTTTCGCTTTCTCTGCAGAATTGTCACCAATATACAACTTCCTAAATTTAGGCCACACGTAATAATCTCGAGATAGCACAACAAAATTTGTACAGCAACGGAGTCTCCAATCACGTGAGTACTATTTCTAGACGTCTACATCGATTGTTCCGATGAATTGAAGGATCGCGTGTGAGTAGCGTACCAGGAAGATCCCAGGGCTCGCATTTGTTGAGGCTCACGTTCGGAATCGACTTCACGGCAAAGTGAGGGTTTTTGACCTTTCGGGTCAGGTAGAAGCTGACGAGCTCATCATCAGTAGGATGGAAGCGAAACCCTGGTGGAAGCTCAATGTTGCAATCTTGTTTTGTCTCCATGGTATTCTTGCCGTTGCACATGCTTGAGACACAAAGGCAGATGTTTACAGGCAGTCACTGCGCTTGATATTGAGTACAAAGGTTCCAGTAGCTCCCTCACCCAATGATTCTGGTGAATAAAGCGTCTGTCTAAAGAGTGAACCAGGTAGAGCTACAGGTCACTATTACTCTTCGATGATCAAATAGAAAAATCACACTAACAACTCTGCAGATGACGATACGCTGACGAAGTAGTGGGACCTCAAAGACAAAAGTCACTTCTGTAAAATCAGCAGCTATTGACTCAAAATCTAGAGGGAATCTCAGAGCACGTGCAAGACGTCACTAAACTACCGTCACTGAAGAGGTAATGAACACCAAGTCACCGGTGACCACGATCAAAACGCACTTACGAAGTGTGCTGGAAAAGAAGAAGAAAACAAAACGACGAAAACGACAGAATACTAGCTAGCGTGGTATTCGTATGAGCTTCGCGAAGAAGCGTTAATAAGAAACTTGTTACCGTGGAAAACGGCTGAAGAGAGAAGATGAGCACAGCAAGGGGTGTCCGATCAAACCATGCACTGCTGGAAATCTAGGTGCTGGAAATCTGTGTGAGATTTACTGTATGAAGGAGAGGGGTCACATGAGCCAGTACCAACGTCTAGCAGACTAAAACCTGAGAAATTGTGGGACTTCAATCGCACAGAATAACGAAGATCAGGTGTGGTTGAAACTCGCATAGACAATGTCTTCACCCTTAACACGATGGTCTCCAGTTTCCAGAAGAATTAATCCCGTGGATTACGGAAAAGTTCCAGTGCGAGAAATAGTTCGCGCTCGTATGCGTTCACACGCAAGTCACCTGATTGAGCATGCGCACATCCCAACAAAGCATGTGTGTTGAATTGAACCTCCAGATATGTGATCAGCACCCACTAGACCTACCACCACACCTGGATGACCTTTTCAGCCAGTTTGAAAAGTGATTTCAAGAATTCAACACCGATCCAAACGGTGGGGTACCACGTGAATCAACGTCGAACGACACAAACACGTCTATGCACCCCAGACATCGACTAGATGTCCAGCAAGTCATCCACGGTCAATATCTGGACTGAACAACTGAAACTACTGCAGTATCTCCGCTACCACGCGAGTAGCTTCGTTCCAGTCCACTCTCTCTCCCACGAACGGAACAGTTTGGTGTCGATGGGTGCGTTCGATGCACAGACTGGGCTTCACAAGCAATACACGCATCCACCCTGATGTGATTTGTGCTCCAGCCACACCCCCCAGGTGCAACCACGGACTTCTGGCTGTGGCTTGAAAACAGCAGACAGATAATTTACAGTCGGCGGACCAGCAGGTACAGTGTCAACAATGGAAGAAAGACGAAAGTGGCACTAGAAGTTGTGATACATGGAGCGAAGGGCGAAAAAAGAAGATCCACACATCAATACAAGACTGGAAATGAGGCAGTAACGTAGGAATGCTCCAAGTGCCACAGTACGGCGATGCAACAGGTGTGGAGCAGCGTGGTGAGGATCAAGGAGAGAGTGTCGCCAAGACGAGGAACACAACAACAGCAACTAGACAAAGATTCACGGCGTTTATTGGAGAGGATCAGGTGGGGGGGGGGGTGTGGGTGGGAACAGCAGCAGACAGGGAGTGACACAGGAAGACAATCATGAGCGGTGACTGCATGTGGGGTTTTGTACAGCGCCTCCGTCCATCCCGGCACCCAGCTTTCAGGAACCCCCGCCCATCGCTCGGTACTTCGCTCCAACTCTGGCGTCCTTCGATCCCCCGATCCCTCCCCTTGGGGAAAAGGCTTGGTCCCACTCTCCCCGCGCTGGCCATCTCGCGGTCTCGCCGTGTAGGTCGCTGGCGGTTGTCACGCAGCCGCGGCAGGTCGCACCACTCCACTTCTACCGCGGCTGCAGGGCAGGGGGGGTCATACGGCTGCTGCTGTGCAACATGATGGTGTGGGTGGATGCAGCGTGGATGCAGCTTCGACCCCCCAACACCGTGCTCATCATGCGACCAATGAATGAATGGGGGTGGTACCCGTCTTTCCCACGCTGACACTCCAGTCTTACCCTTTTTCCTAACGACAATTCAGGGCAGACTTGATTTCCCCCACGTTCACCGCTTGGACTGGGGACCCACCTAACCCCCCCCCCCCCCCCCGCTTGCCTGCCATTCCCAGCTCCTGCTCTCACACCCCAAGAAGGGATGGCTGCAGCTGGCTCCGGACCGTGCCCATGGTCGCCCTACCTTGGGGACGTCCCGCTGGGGCCTGTTGTTGTTGTTGTTGTTTCCCATCATGAATCTGTTTTTGCTCGTGCTCCTGCTCCTTGGCTCTGTTTTTCTCTCTCCCAAGGGCAGTCAATATCTTCTGCTGTGGGGACCAGGGGTTTTGCCTTTTCCAGGAGCCAGGGTTCTTGAATGGGCTCCCTCTCCTCTCACCATGGGCTGCATCCTAAGTTGCCTCTTTTCTCACTCCCCTCATCCATTCCTATCCTGTGTCATTACTCTCCACGAGCTTGACGATTGTGAACATCTCCAGCCTTTTCATCCATTTTTCAACTCTTTTGAGTACCATTTTGGTTAGTGTGTAAGCTTTTTCATGCATGCTGCAATTCTAAATTTAAGTTTTTGCACATTGGTAATAGCCCAATTTAGGATACTTAGAGGAAAAAATAGCTTTTTAGAATGAAAGTAAGTAGTTACTGACATAAGCAATGTAATATCATACAGAATATAAATTGTGAAACATTCAATTTATAAAATAGATCTGATTGTGTTTTGGATGTCACATGAATCTTTCCTTTACTTTTTTAATTATAATTCCAAAAAGAACAACACAAAAAATGGGTGCCAAAAGTATTGATAATTATATCGAGACTTCTTTCAAGAGATTATTTAGACTTCACTTTAAAAAAAGAATGGTAACATAATGCAGAAAAAGGCAAACATCACTAGAAGATTTGAATAAACATTTGCGAAATTTGATTTCAAAATTCATTGAAATCAAAATCCATTGTTGTGGTTCTTGTAGATTCAGAACAAAGAAAAAAATATTATTTAAAAAACAAATTCCCATTTTAAACCATAACAGGGATTGTGCAACAACAATTCACAAACTTCATAATCATATAAATCCAAAGAATATGTTATGTTGTTTATTAACCATCCACAAGATGCATTACAGCTATGCACTCAGAATTATTTATTTGACAATTCACTTATTTTGATTACACAAATGGTTCATATCAAATTTATTTAATACTGATATCATGTGTGTGATTGTAGAGTGGGATAATATTTGCAAAAATGCGAATTAATGCAGAATTTGAAAACAAATGGGAGTGGTGGGGAAGAAAGGAAGGAGGGACGTGGCTGGAGGGGATCTTCCAGTTGTGGGCGGGCAGGGCATCTCTCCACACCCACGAGGGCCCGGACATGGGAGCCCTCTAACTGGGAGGGAGGACTCCCACCCATCACCATGAGCGACGCAAACTCCACAAGAGAAGAAGGAGAAGAAGAAGGATAAGGATGAGGACGAGGTGGTAGCAGTGGTGGTTGTGGTGTGCTGCTGCTGCTGCTGGTCAAGGCCTTCCGTGTGACCTTGTCGAGGAGCCACGGCAGCGCGGGAGGGAGGAGGAATCGATCTGCGAGGGAGAGCAGGCAACGAGCAGGTTACATTGTGCGTGAGTTGACCAGCGCTGCGGAGAATGCAGCCTCATCAGCTGCGTCTTTGGAGGTGCTGGGCGTCACGCAGTGCAATGCAGTGAACTTGACTGGAGTGGTGTGGTATGCACGCCTGCGCAAGACCAGCGAGATAATCCCACCCACCCGCCCTCCTCAGTGTTCACGAAGCATCCATCCATCCAGCCATCCATCTATGCCGTGCCTTCTAGTCGGCTTCCAACCAACGCCGAATTGCGGCAAGATCAACGCAAACTGCTCGCGCGAGTGGGGCACCTCAGTCCTTTTGTGAGCCATCGCGCTCCTTCCACCGCACCACCACCGCACCCTGTCATTCCCGCCTGAATGTCTCTTTCTATATATATTCGTGCCGTCGTTCCTTTTCCTTCCAGCGACAAAGGAAGGGATGGGACCCCTGGCTCGGTGATGTATCTCCCTGTGTAAAAATCAACGGGCGAGGTGTGGCGTACAAACTCATTGTTACACATACCTCTAGGGGTCCTGGCTAGCAGCGGACGAGAACTCCTAGGATCAGCTGCACAGGGCTTCTTCTGGCAAGGCCACGACCGTTGCGTGAACCTAGTCCGTTGAGTAAGACTTGAGATCAAGCTAGGAACACTGGAGAGCATCGTCCAGCTCCAAACAAGCTGGCACGGACGACCTCAACGCACACAGTGGAAATTACCGACTGGTGAATTTGGCATCCTGTGACCGAGCGCCGCAATAGTGCCGCGAGTGCTGGCATCATAATATTCCCTCCATGGTAGACCCAAAAATCGATGTGGCCACGTGATGCCTTAAATGACCCTTCGAAGAGCACGCACCCTAGGTAAAAGAGAGTATGACTCTCTACGATTGACAAATCGTATCAGGGCACCACTGTACAGTAACGGGTAGACGAAACTTTCCTACCTCGGTGAGTACCGCCGGAATAGATCACTCATTGTCCGGCGAGGCTACCCACAATCCTATGCAATAGCCTTGAACATTGATGCACCACAGTAGGAAGTGGCACTGGCGGTATCTGCCAGCAATAGAATCGTCCAAATGCTTTTGTGTGCATTACGTCACTTTGTCATGAACGAGTTGGATCTAGTGGGGATTTGAGGGTTCGATGTTAACTCGTCCGTGAGTGACGTGGTGCCTGGAAGGGTGGAAAAATGTTTCCAGGACTACATTTCAGAGGCCTCGGTAATTCCACCTCGAAACGGTCTTTAGATCCTACAAACCACAAGCTCTCTGTGTCTATTCAAAGGAACTAAGGAATAATCGTTCATTGTAAATGAGATTGACCTTGGAATTTCGGCCAGAATCAAAGGAGTGGGAAGATACGAATTTCCGTCACGGACCACCCGGGTGGAACACTCAAAATACAGATTCAAATTGTGGCAATGCGAGAAAGGAAATTACAAATATCTAGTTCTACGCTAAGTTTCTCCCTTAACACTAGATGCAATTCTATGATTGGGACTGCAGTGGGATCTTTCGATATCTCAGTGACGAGAGTCCCGAGACATTCTCACTTAATTTGGCCAACTAGATGGGATTTTATTCCCGAATCTCAACAATGGCAGAGACGGGAACAGAATTGGAGCGTGGACCCACCGCTGCTGCTTGTTTGGCTCAAGAACCGAGGTATTCAATAGGAATAAGGAATATTATCATTCAATGTTCTCGCAAGCGCGCTGCGTGATCTGTCAGACTCCTAACTTTAATGAACTCCGTATTTTGCAAAGTTTTCACTCAAAACTAATCCCACATAGTCATTATGCAATTAAAAGTTCCGAAGTTCGACAAGAATTTTGTCGTAAATTATTCCACGGATTCCACCCTTGGAAACTTCTATTACTACGGACCATTTCGCAGATTCCTCAGCTGCAGAACCAGGTCTATCCTCGATGTACACCACTGGATTCTTACTAATTAGAATTCCACGTCAGTGGATAAGCTGTTTAGTGAATAGATCTACCGAAGTTTTAACAGCTGCGCAAGGGCAGGGAAGGCGTTTCATTCTGGTCGAAAGAGAAAAGTCAGAACATGAAGTAAACAAGTGACAAGTTTTTCCTTAGATTTTAATGAAGTCAGAATAGGAAAAACGCTCGAAGTGGGGGGTGGAGGGTGGCAAGAGCTGAGGACAAACCGACAATTCTATTTTTTATTCACCCTCGAGGACTGGTCGATTCAAACTGTTCTATCTCTAACATTCAATATTCTGCTCAAATTTTATCCATGAGCTGTTCATTCATTGCAGTCCTGGCATCTTCATGGAACACCAGCATCCTCACATTCCTCACCTTCTGCTTATTAAAATTTCCCTAACCAAGTTGAAAGATTATAGAGCCAGCCGCCCGAGCAAACAAAATTTAGGGGCATGGCATACGATCATGGATCGAGAATATTTCTTCTCCAAGAGTATCGCATCAGATGGAAGCGGAAAGAAAAGAGTAAAAATAGAATTAAAAAAGAAGGTTGCGGGGCGGGGGCGGTGCCTCTTGAATCGCACAACCCACATTGTGTTGCAAAGCACGGAGCTCTGGCCTCCCTACATGGAGCACGTTGAGATAAAGGTGAGCTTATGCTCATCTGATAATGAATAACTGATTGGTCAGGTCTTCATGCTTCTTCTTGTTGTTTCATCGTTATCACCAGCGCAGTCCGAGTTTGGTGACGGTCACAATTATGATTTCCACGCTGAAGGGGTAGAATTAATACCGTACTAGAACTCTCTTGCAACATGGCAACCACATTGAGCAAACCCAGAGCCAGGGTGCGTATCCAATGGCAAAAATGAACAAAAAGCATCACAGCCCATGAAAACGATGTCTCTATCCTCGATTTCTGGAAGTTCCGTTCCAAAGAGAGCATTCAAGCTGCTGTTGCTATCACCATTTCCATCACACCTCGTGCTTGCTTCGAGGAGTGCGCCAGATTCAGGGGCACGATGATGGCGGCTGAGCA